CTACGAGTGTCGTTAACACTATTAACGCGAGTTGCGTACACTACTTTACCTACGACCGTTTTTTAATTACTAACAATCTGGTTTTTATTTACTTACCATCACTACTCATAATTTCTTAAAGAGGTTATGTTTTCGTTTATTTTCATTGCCACTGAAAGTTATGCAACGATTGTATAATCAGCTGATTTCATGTAATTACGTGTTTACAAAACTTCGTTAAATAATTATGTTACTTTTTCAGGGAATAGGTTCTACTAGCAGCATTCATACCATGAATACTGTATCAGGTACAATTAGGGAAATATTGCATAATATTTTGGACAACTGAATAATATAGTGAAACAGTTAATTTACAGTTAGGTCCACCAACTTAGGTTAAGAATACGCGAGTATCAACAGGAACAAGTCGGATTAACAACTGAAATTTTCAACTGATCAGCTGATTAGTTGACGTTCGAAGCATTACAATTTTACTTCTTTTCTCTCAATCCTTGAACCTCATTGGCCCGTTACCCGTGTTGTTATGAGAAAAACTATGCTGTTATGAAAGTAACCAGCTGTTAAGGGAAACTTTTCAATTCTAAGAACTGAACTGAAATGGCTACTTTAAAAAACGGTCGTAGGTAGTTTATTACATGACTATAGAGGTCTTTTTACTGTGCCACCGTTAGGCTCTTGTAAACGATACATCTTACAGTAAACTTTAAATGGGGAACATTCCCTTGTTTTTAAAGAAGTTTTTTAATAAGTATATAACATTTTTGTAAATGGCCACCATTTTCCAATATGGTGGTCTGATTCGGGTTTTCTTATGGAATACTTTGTATTTTATGGTGTTTTCGGATGGTAAATGAAATTTAAGACTTTTTTATTCTCGAGTAAATTTTGATATTTACGAGCTACAGAGAGATAAAGTTGTAATTCTCTTCCCATTTAAAGTTTACTGTAAGATGTATCTTTTAAAAGATGCTAATGGTGGCACAGTTAAAAAAAAAAAAAACACTCTGTATAATAGGACTCATTAAAACTACTCTCATTCGGTGTGAATACGAATAAACAGAACCCTTACATTGTTGCAATATTCTGTAGTTGATTAAGATAGTCTATTTAGATAAACAAATTTCAATGCTAGTGAACCTATTAAACGAGTACTGTTTGCTAATGCGATATTAGAAGTGTGGACCATATTTTCTATTGGACTTTTTAGCAAGATAGTGTGCTTGTGACTATGAGCAACGTGTTGTGTTGAAGATAATAAGGTAGCCTTGTTTTGGAACCGTATGCAACAGATAGTGGAGAATAAGTAGACCTACTAGATACACGGAAATCTAACGTTTGTGTACTGATTGACATGGTAAATTTCACAAAGTCAATTGTCTTGTTTTCCGTTAAACTATCAGACTATGTGATTGGCGTGCATTTCACTTCACACCGAACCAAAAACTTCATACAGATTTATTTTTAATTTTAATTCATTTTGCTACATTTTTCTACACTAAGCTTACAACATTTTACTCATTCAGGTAGGAGGCGAAGCTTCATAAAGCAGCCCTTATTTTAGACAGTGCTGTCAACATTTAGTCTGTTGTCTGAATGTCATTTTGAAGCCTTTGTTCGTTGACACAGCTTCTGTTGTAAGCCTTTGTTTGCTGACATGTAATATCTGTATAACAACTCACTTCCATGTTCTATCCTCGGGATCAAGTTTACTTGTAGAGAGTTACAAGAGATACAACATTTTATACTGTAGTCATGTAATTTTAAATAGAAAATAAAACTAAAATCGTAAATTCTGGGTAACAGACAGTAGCCATTGAATCATGTTTTTAAACGTTTTATCCAACATAATTGGTTCAAAACTTTGCACTATGGTGATTTTCAATTACAAAATCTACAATTTTTTATAGAATGGTCTCTAACAATATTACATAACTACTTAAATGTTTTTTTTAATGCATAATTAAACTTACAGCTTATTCAATAAGCCTTCGTTGAATTAACTGTTGGATACGTTTGTAATAGTAGTAACATATGATTTAAACTAGTATATTTCCGTTAAAAAATCCCCATTGTTTGTGATTTATACAAGTACCTAAGGACTATCACGTATTATCTATACATTTTAGTACGTTTCAATTATTCAATCCGAGTAAGTATTCAAATATTTAAGATCCATTTAGAAAATCAAACTTTCTTAGGTTACATGCAGAATGGACATCCATACCTGTCACTTCAGACAGTGAAGCGACATGGGAATTGCAATGCGTTATAATATCACATTATCCTAATTACCATCAGCATATTGATCCAGACTGTTGATATTATCCTTACATCAACTCGAGCTGATGTAATCGCATAATATATCTTGAAACAATAGTATTATGTAGATACTTAATACGAGATCGTGTTGTAGTTGTGTTTTAAACTGTTTGAGAGTTTTCCTTCTAGTCAGAAGTTTCCGGGAAAATGTTTCACTTGTTTATCTTGTGGCTTTTATTTAATTATGATGAGTCTGTACCTTAGCTACACTAGTCATCGTACCTAAGTACTAAATATATGCCTTCACTAATTAAACTTTTCGCAAAATGTAAGGGTTAACGTAATCACCAAAGAAAAAAATTCATGTAGTAACATCTAGTACAGGTAGCGTGTAACATGTATTATTAACTAGTGTTAAAATAGTTTTCTTAATAACTAAGGCCTGATCGGTTTTTAGTTTAACGAGATGAACTTAAATTAATGAACAAGAATAGAAAAGTAGGTTTTAACCCATATGTTTAATTATATTTTTCTTTAATTCTAGAGCCTTTCAATTAACTAACTCACACAACATAACATGTAACAGTATAATTTATCTTTATAAAGCAACTCCCTAAATAGCTCCATCTTGTATTACTATTCATTGAGTATAAAAGAACCGCGTTTTGAACATTCAACTATTTGATCTGTTTAGGTTGTTTTGTTATAATACGTTTAATGGTAAATTACAATTTTTAAACGCTGATATAAATATAACTAGCCGACAACAATGAACTACAAAATAACAACCAATTACTCCTCTCCCAACCTTCAACAATTGATAATCAGAGTTTCTATGTGAGAAAATTAACATTTGACATTCTCGAATCTAACTAACTATATGTAGAGTTGGTTAATGTTTGGTTAACTAACTTTACCCAAGATATGGCTCTTCCCCTCAACGCATCAAAGCCGATTCCTCTGGAGTATGACTAACCACATCTATCCCCTGATATAGGTAGGAGGGGTTGTTGAATTACAGGTGACTCCGTAGGAATGTTTTTACTAAAGGATGATCTGTTGCGGTTCTTGGAAGTGCGCACGTCTCTAAAGGACAGCAATAAATTGCATTTCTCATGTCTATTATACGTCGTGATGACAGTTGACGTATGCCTACAGAGTCCCGTCCACACGCACCCCACGTCAGAACTCTCACGCTATTTGGTATGAACTTTCCACGGAAAACTCTCTTTAAACTATCATGTATATCAATCAAAGGTTTAAAATCACGTATATGCTATACAGTCGTGGTAGTTCGTCAGTAGGTTTCGAAGTAATAAGTGACAATTTTGTATTACTTAAAAAACTCATTTGGACATAATCAATTTTATACTAGTTTAATATCCATAAAGCCCAAAGTACCCAAGGAGAAAACTACATGTCACAACCCCGTAAACCATATACTTAAAATGTTCGTCATGGCGAGAAACCTTGCGCAAAACTATCCATTATTTCATAAATTGCCCTTTACGGTCGTAATAGCTTTCTAAAGGGAACTTTCCATAATGTTAACTTAATGTTAAAAATACTTTAGCTGTACTTATTTGTATGTTATTTGTTCAATTTATTACCTTATTAAAATCAGGTGTGATTATTTGTTTGTATTGCTGGTTGTTCCTGTATTCTGTTTTGTTTATTTCAGCTTAACTTAACCAATCAATAGTTTTATTAACACTTATGAAGTCGAACGGGGTGAAGCCCGTGGGTAAAAGCTAGTTTTATTCAAAAGTATTTTATATGTTATGATTGTATCGTAAATAAGCGTTTTTTAACCCAAAATTTTACTTAAGATAAACGCGGAATCGGTAACATTCGTCATGTATCGCTTTAACAGACTAGGACTGTTGTACCTGATGCTTATTTATCAAAATTGACAACTAGCTATTACATTAAGCAGCTCAGGAAGTAAAGAACGTTAAACCATAAGAAAATGTTAAACACAACTGGAACACATATGTTTTTCTAGAATGTAGAAACGTCTGATAGAAACAGCTCATGCAACTGTATATGGAGCTAAGATCAAGTAAGGGTGAGTCAGATGTGCTAATCCACTTATCGGTTTTGTTTGTCGACGAAAATTACTTTCCACAACTTCGACTTAAGATGATTGTCAAGTTATTATTCTTCGTTGTACTGTGGAAGAAAAACAAGAGCTCGAAAATCATCTCAGCTCTTTTGAAAACCATTGCAATTCATATAGGTTTTATTAATATTAGACTCTTAATAGCACTTAGATAATTGTAACAATTTTAGGAAGTATGACTGCCGTCTGGTCAATAGGTTATAATTTAAGCTATCGTCCTAGATTATGGAGACACAAGTTTCTGAAGGAAAACATGCAAATATTGTTATTTTTTCCTTCACCTTAGGCGGCTGGTTTGAAAGGTCCTCAAAATATTTTTCATCAAAAGTATGATATTTGTATAAACCCTAGGCTCTGATGTTGGTAGTCTTGATAGCTTGAGTTTAATTTTATTTTATGTTGGTTTTTTTCTCGGAGTTCAATGGAAGACCTACGAAACAGTTATTGGGATATTTCACGTTTGAAGGTTGGCAGTGATTCATTTACACTGCGCCACATAAATGTTAAAATTACATCGAGAAATCTTCGAATGTTTATCGCAGCAAAAACTATATTTAGATATTTTTAATTCTCCTATATTAAAATCAAATAACCTACAACCGGTTTAAGAATTGCTTACCTTTCAAAGCTTTAGTCAAATGTCTACAGCTCCACCTAAAACAGAACAAGCTCATTAAAATATTACATAAAATTTTTAAAGTAGGCTTAGTAATAACAAAACTTAACTTTAATATATACAATGATTTTCTTTTCTAATATATATAACGCCTTACCATTGATGGTGTATTACATTTCATGATGAATGGGTAATTTTCGTGTCAGGACGATTACCTCTATGTTCCACTTTAGTTTAGCACCATACTTTTCGCGTCGAGAAAATGGTGCACTATATCTTGAATAGCTTTTAGGATGAGTTGTAGGTATCGCATTTCATCTAGAAGCTATAAACTAGAATAGCCTAAATATTTAAACCCTGTGTACGTATTGGTCAATCTAATTTACTAGGATGGAACTTTCTGTGAAAAGATGGTCATGGATAGGGATTAAACACTACAGGTGAAACATCATGTCAATTTAACGTTCCAATTATAGTGTAAAATGTGCATGATCCACTACGAAACAAGTCATCTGCGTCACAGTTTCCTATATTAGACGATTGATGTCCCTGGAGTCACCATTATGAGCTGCCTCGCAATTGATGTAAGCCAACTTTTCTCCCAGTGATGGTTGGATTTAGCCATAAAGATTTTTTTCAGGGTCGAAATAGCTTTTCCGCTATTATACCTAACACCAAAAGTAGGCTGTATCAAACCACCTCAGAAGCATTTAACGTTCTATTGTTTCTCACTGGGGTAGGTAGGTAACATTAAATGTGTTACAGTAGTTTTAAAATTAACTATTAATGTGACGACAGCCTCTAACGATGGAACAAAGATTCAATAAAATTGCCTGAATGTTTTTGATTTTTTTCTGGAGTATCAAACTACGTAAATGTAATTCGAGGTGATATCTTGAACGTTAGTATTGAACTTATAATGTGTTATTCCGGTTGAATTTGAAGGCCATAAAATATACGTATTGAATGATTGTTAACCAAATGATAAACTCGAGTACTTCGTTTGACCCTACATGAATTCTATGCATATTGGCAAATGCGTACATACATTTAAAAATAATTATCATTGGAAGGAGTAATTGGTTTCGCCTAATTGGTTTGGTTCTGTCTTTGTCAATCTCGTGACGGTAATTGGTTTCGTTATGGATTCATAAGACCGCTTCAAACGAGACTGGTTTGCATAGTTAACATTGCAATATTCCCAGCGCTCCGTATCGATTATTGCGATAGATATAAAACAAACGTTCCATGTGTCCAATGGTTCGTTTCGATAGACCAACCAACACAGCCATGGGAGTATGTTTAATCCATGGGTTCGTATAGATTATTGAAGCAGATATTTCGGACATCATTTGGATCATAGATAACTAAACAAATTTCGAAGTTACCCAAAATTTTTATTTATTATTGAGTGGGATACTAGAACCAAGGATGTGATGATTTCAGCGCTACGGGAATCGGAGCGAGTGCCGTTCTATTCTTTGCCGTGGGGGTCATAAACCGTCAAAACCGTCAGGTAGGCCCGAGTGCCGTTTGACTTCCCAGAGCGTAAGAGTGATTCGGGGGAGGGGTATTAGTGAAGGGGGTGTGGTGGGCAGGATGTAACGGATACCAGGTACAGTTTCTTAACTGGGCTACCCTTATATCGATTGAAACTATCGATTCGATTAGTAAACCTTCATTCAATTTTTTCATAATCAGCAAGTTTGGTTAAGTTAGGTTAGGTTATAATAATTTAATTTTATACCCTAAAACAAGTTTTACTCATCCTGCCCTGCCCCTGGTCGATCTTTCCTCCCCCATGCCCGCCGTCTCGCGAAACCCGTCACTGATGACTTGAGAATGACCCTCGTCAAAGCTGTTAGGAGAACGGCACTCGGCCCTGCACTCCAGCGCTACATATCTATTATTGCATTGAATGTCTCAGACAGAATGTCCAATGCTCCCAGTGCTCTGTAATGGTATTACCTACGATATTACATAGGTTTGATGTTACTGAACTCTCGATTTTTAGTATTGCAACAACTCCTAAAATTCATGTGATTCTGAAAAGCTATGCGAGGTAGTTTGGTGTGAGGGTTTATTTAGAGAGCGTTGGTTTGGAACCGAAAATAACACAAAACGGAAGATGCAGCAAGCAAACCATTTAGGTAATTAGTCTGCATCAAGACGGGTTTTGTATCGTCAAATTTGTAATATGAAACCACATTTTAAGTAAATTTTGTTTAGTTTCGTTTTTAGTTCATTTTATTTTAGTTATTTTTTTTAGATATTATATAACATGATCTTAAATTTTGTCTGTTTTAGTGACGTTCTCATTAGTCTTCAGCAATTTGTCACTTCTATTTTCCACATAAAACAGAATAAAAAAGGTACTTTTTGTTATAAAAAAACCAAAGTTGAAATTTTATTTATTATCGTTCGTAGGAAAATAGATTATTATAATGTACAGGATGTTTTAGGGTTCTATCATAATGTTGTAAACAATTGTTTTTTTTTTTTTTTTTTTAGACAAAAACAATATTCTAGCAAGGCTAATATCATAAGTGTAATCAGAAGTTGCCCCTACTTACACATCTATCTATACTATTATAAAATTGATGTGATATCTGTCTGTCTGTCTATCTTAGCGGCTGTCACGACTAAAATACTAAACCGATACAGCAAAAAAAAGCACAAAGAAGGTCCATATATCTTATCTAGGAATGTCATAGGCCTATTCACTTTCCTGAGTTCCTCTCGGGCTACACCCCTTGGATGTTCAAATTTTTGAGGTGAGGTTTTCAAAAAAGTAAATATTAATTGGTCTCTATGGTAGCATTAGAAAATGCATAGTTTTCCTTTGCGTTGACATTTAAATGTAAACAATCAGAACTTCCAAAGCTCATATTACTATTTCAGACAGGTGATCCAAAGAAACTAAATATATTTTACACAACTATGTGGTAGGGTTATTTAATCTGAAACTTTATCATAGATTATTTATTCTAAATCTATTTCAATGATTATATAACTGATTTTTATTCCCGTTGCGAAGCACGTGTACAGCAGCTAGTCCTCCAGAAAAAATACCGCAAAACGTTAACAGGCAGTTATAAAATACCTTATTTATAAATCCATCATTTAGAGCCTTTCTACTGTACTGCAATAAAGTCCTAGCGGATCACGAGAGAAGTACTTGTCAGACTGTTTGCTGTTTATAAATACCAGACGCCTCCTTCAACAAACAACTCATTTGACCCGGGGCTCAACTTCCGTTATAGATATTTATTTTACCTTCTGAACAATATTATTGCCTCCCCTTCAGAAAACATGAGACATGTTAGTGTTCTCGAAAATGACTACTTTTAATATAAGATAAAGAATACATCACATTTTATTTTCCACGTTTGTCCATATCATCAAACACCAATACGTTGTTTGAAGATATTTTTAGTTAAATCCATTCTATCCATATTATTATTTTTTTTACTACTGACTCTTGTGTTTACTGATTTACTATATTTTCATATAAATATACAGTATATAAATAAAATTATATTCTGAAAACCATAATCTTAGCTTGGATTGCAAAAGATCTGGTATAGAATTTTTTATTACTCTGAAATTTTATCAATGAAGTTAACATTAGTGTAATAAATCAAAACCTATTATTTATGTATTATTCTGGCTTATATGCTTTAAACTAAGAATTATACAGCAATATAAGAAATGAAAATACCACAACTAATGAGTGGCATTTTATGGCGTGTTTTTGGTTCTTTGTTGTTAACAAAAATTCATAACAAGTGAATGTATATAAAGAAGAAAATTCCGAAGCTCATTGAGAGGTGACAAAGAACTCCTAATCATATCAAAGCTTATCTAAATGTTATATTTGTTATTTTTTCATTTACAAGCGTACACTATAGTTTGTTTCAACAAACCAAAGACTCGCTGTAGTTTATTTTGCAAGTAAATGAAATTTAACTTCAGTAGCGATTCAACAAACCGTGATGATTGTTTACTACGCATAAACATAATTTGTGTATCTAACTGTAGCTTATTTCCTAGTTATGGATCAAATATCGTTAGAAGTAATTTATTAATAAAACCCATTATCATAAAATGACCTCTCAAATGTTTACGCCGGCTGGTTATATCCCAATACAGTATTGTACAACCGTTCGGTTTTATTACACACGTAAAGGCTATCCAATACCAACGATACTGGGACAACAATTACGGTTACGATGGCTACGTTCTATGAAACATTGGAGATTTTACAGAGCATATAAAACTAGTTATCAAATTTCTATGATTGCTGTTTCAATTTCCCAGTGGACAAACTTATAATTTCAAAAACTAATACTGAACTGTTCATAGCACTGTATGGATTCTATGTTGTTTTTCGCGTTGTTTCTAAATTGTTGACCTTAGTTTAGTTTTCAACTAATTTTAGTTTAATGCACAGGAGAAATATATAAATTTCAAATTTTTTATATAAAATCGATAAACATTGATCTAATATTTTTGTAAAAAGCATAAACACAAAACAATATAAACTTTCTATATCCATATTTCCCTAGACCAAAATAATTTCGTTTCAAAATTTATCACTTTAAAAACTACTACTTTACTTTAACTTACTCCAATGCTGCTAATTTTACTACTTCTTTTTTCACTATAACTTTTTAAACTCGTGTTTTCTATTTCTGTTCGTTCACATTAATATCAGGCCTTAAACAGATAATTCAGTATATTGAAGTGTATTTTCCTAATAGTTACGGAAAAATCCTAATCTCGTATTGAATGTTTGTGTCATTAATATGGATTGTAAGTCAATTATTACAGTTTGCTTGCTAATACGGGCCCCTAGCACCAATAGGTTCTGTGACATTGATAAAATTTACGTATTTTAAAATAGGTATTTACACTCAACTACAATACAACCTTTTTTCTTTCTTTCTGTAGCAGCAAACCTAATTATTCGTTAAACCTACTGTTATTTAAGCAGTGAATAAATCTATCATGTTTTAGGAAATATTTTTGTGACAGT